CTCCGCGTGGCCTCTGAGAGCCACAAATCCCTCAATTCCCGCAGCTTCCAGGTGCCAAATTCCCGCTTTTCCCGCTTTTCCCATCCCCCCAAAATCCCTTTTTCCCAACATTTTTTATTCCCAGTTTTTTCCTGGAATTTCAGGATTTTTTCCGGATTTTTTTCTGGATTTTTTTCCGGATTTTTTTGGGTTTTTTTGGGTTTTTTTTCCTCTCCCCTGTCGGTTTTTCTTTTATTCCCTGATTTATTTTCTTATTCCCTGATTTATTCTTTTATTCCCTGATTTATTCCCCTCCTCATTCCCATTTTTCTCCTGGAATTTCAGGATTTTTTCCAAATTTTTGGGTTTTTTTTTTTCTCTCCCCCTCTCCATTTTCCTTTTATTCCCTGATTAATTTTTTTATTCCTGGATTTATTTTCTTATTCCCTGATTTATTCTTTTATTCCCTGATTTATTTTTTAATTCCCTGATTTATTCCCCCCCATTCCCATTTTTTCCTGGAATTTCAGGATTTTTTTCCCCAGAATTTTCCCCCAGGATCAGAAAAACCAAAAACTCAAATCCCAGACAATTCCAGAACCAAATTTTCCCCATTTTTTTTTCAGGATCTCCAGGAGAATCCTGAATTTTCAGGACCATTTTTCCCCAAAATCAGAAGAAACAAAACCCACAAAATTTGGGATTTCAGGCCCTTTTTTCCCGGAATTTTTCCCTTGGATCCAAAGGAACAAAACACAAATTTTGGGATTTCAGGACCGTTTTTCCTGGATTTTTCCCCTTGGATCTGAAGGAAAATCCTGGAATTTTTTCCCAGGGATCAGAAAAACCAAAACCTCAAATCCCAGACAATTCCAGAACCAAATTTTCCCCATTTTTTCCCCCCAGCATCCAAAACCAAACCCCAAAATTTCACTTTTTTCCCCGGAATTTTTCCCAAAACCCAAAAACTCAAATCCCAGGCGATTCCAGGACCAAATTTTCCCCAGATTTTTTTTTTCAGGCTCTCCAGGAGAATCCTGAAATTTCAGGACCATTTTTCCCCAAAATCAGAAGAAACAAAACCCACAAAATTTGGGATTCCAGACCCATTTTCCCCAAAATTTTTCCCAAGCTCAGAAAAACCAAAACCTCAAATCCCAGGCGATTCCAGAACCAAATTTTCCCCATTTTTTCCCCCCCAGCCTCCAAAACCAAACCCCAAAATTTCACTTTTTCCCCCGGAATTTTTCCCAAAAACCCAAAAACTCAAATCCCAGACAATTCCAAAACCAAATTTTCCCCATTTTTTCCCCCCCAGCATCCAAAACCAAACCCCAAAATTTCACTTTTTTCCCCGGAATTTTTCCCAAAAACCAAAACCTCAAATCCCAGGCGATTCCAGGACCAAATTTTCCCCAGATTTTTTTTTTCAGGATCTCCAGGAGAATCCTGAAATTTCAGGACCATTTTTCCCTAAAATCAGAAGAAACAAAAACCCACAAAATTTTGGGATTTCAGGACCATTTTTCCTGGAATTTTTTCCCAGGGATCAGAGAAACCAAAACCTCAAATCCCAGGGGATTCCAGAACCAAATTTTCCCCATTTTTTTCCCCCCAGCCTCCAAAACCAAACCCCAAAATTTCACTTTTTCACCCGGAATTTTTCCCAAAAACCCAAAAACTCAAATCCCAGGCGATTCCAGGACCAAATTTTCCCGTTTTTTTTTAATTTTCCCAGGATCTGCAGGAGAAGATGAAGGAGCTGCTGCCTCTGCTGCCGGTGCTGGAGCAATACAAATCCGACTCCAGGCTGATCGTGCACCTCAAGGACGAGGTCCGGAATCTTTCCGGAATTCTCCTGGCGATCCAGGAGGAGATGGGAGCCTACGACTACGAGGAGCTGCAGCAGAGAGTTCTGCTGCTGGAGGCCAGGCTCCACGCCTGCCTGCAGAAACTGGGTAAGGAAATTCCCAAAAAAAAAAAAAAATCCCCGGGAATTCCGGGAATTCCGGGTTGGAATCGCGGGAAAAAAAAAAAAAAACCTCGGGGGGAAGCGGTCGGAATGTCGGTGAAATAAGAAAAATCTCCATAAAAATCGGATCAAAATGTTTCAAAAATTTGTCCCAAAATTCCCAAAATTTCATCCCAAAATCTCCTAAAATTGGGTTAAAAAATTCCAGGGATTTGGACTCAAATCCCAAAAAAACCCCGGTGGGAATCGGTCGGAATGTCGGTGAAATAAGAAAAATCTCCCCAAAAATCTGATCAAAATGTCTCCAAAGTTTGTCCCAAAATCTTCCCAAATTCTTCCCAAAATTGGGTTAAAAAATTCCAGGAATTCAGGCTGGAATCCCAAAAAAACCCCGGTGGGAATCGGCCGGAATGTCGGTGAAATAAGAAAAATCTCCATAAAAATCTGATCAAAATGTCTCCAAAATTTATCCCAAAATCTCCTAAAAATCCCTCCTAAAATGAGTTTAGAAATCCCAAAAAATTCCAGGAATTCAGGCTGGAATCCCAAAAAAACCCTGATGGAAAGCAGCCAGAATCTCGCTGAAATAAGAAAAATCTCCACAAAAATCTGATCAAAATGTCTCCAAAATTTATCCCAAAATTCCCAAAATTTCATCCCAAAATCGCCTAAAAATCCCCTAAAAATCTTCCTAAAAATGGGTTAAAAAATTCCAGGAATTCAGGCTGGAATCCCAAAAAAACCTCGGTGGGAATCGGTCGGAATGTCGGTGAAATAAGAAAAATCTCCATAAAAATCTGATCAAAATGTCTCCAAAATTTGTCCCAAAATCTCCCCAAAATCTTCCCAAAGTCTTCCCAAAATTGGGTTAAAAAATTCCAGGAATTCAGGCTGGAATCCCAAAAAAACCCCGGTGGGAATCGGCCGGAATGTCGGTGAAATAAGAAAAATCTCCATAAAAATCTGATCAAAATGTCTCAAAAATTTATCCCAAAAGTCCCAAAAAATTCATCCCAAAATCTCCCCAAAAATCCCTCCTAAAATGAGTTTAAAAATCCCAAAAAATTCCAGGGATTTGGACTCAAATCCCAAAAAAACCCCGGCGGGAATCGGTCGGAATGACGGTGAAATAAGAAAAATCTCCATAAAAATCTGATCAAAATGTCTCCAAAATTTGTCCCAAAATCTCCCCAAAATCTTCCCAAAGTCTTCCCAAAATTGGGTTAAAAAATTCCAGGAATTCAGGCTGGAATCCCAAAAAAACCCCGGTGGGAATCGGTCGGAATGTCGGTGAAATAAGAAAAAATCTCCATAAAAATCTGATCAAAATGTTTCAAAAATTTATCCCAAAATTCCCAAAAATTCATCCCAAAATCTCCTAAAAATCCCCTAAAAATCTTCCTAAAATTGGGTTAAAAAATTCCAGGAATTCAGGCTGGAATCCCAAAAAAACCCCGGTGGGAATTGGTCGGAATCTCGCTGAAATAAGAAAAATCTCCACAAAAATCTGATCAAAATGTCTCCAAAATTTATCCCAAAATTCCCCAAATTCTCTCCAAAAATCCATCCCAAAATCCTTCCCAAAATTCCCAAAATCCCCTCAAATTCCATCCAAAAATCCCCCAAAATTCCCAAAATCCCATTTCCCATTCCCAGCCCCTCCAGGCATTCCCTGGCCCCAATCCCCGATTTCCAACAATTCCCAAATTTCCCCAATTCCCCCCCAGAATTCCCAGATTTTCCCCCAGAATCCCCAGATTTTCCCCAGAATCCCCAGATTTTCCCCCAGAATCCCCAGATTTCCCCCCAGAATTCCCGGATTTCCCCCAGAATTCCCAGATTTTCCCCCCAGAATTCCCGGATTTCCCCCAGAATTCCCAGATTTCCCCCAGAATTCCCGGATTTCCCCGGAATTCCCGGATTTTCCTGCTTTTCCAGGCTGTGGGAAGCTGACAGGGGTCAGCAATCCCATCACCATCCGAGCCTCGGGGTCGCGTTTTGGCTCCTGGATGACCGACACCATGACCCCCAGCGCCGACAGCCGGGTGAGCAGCGCCCCAAAAACACCGGATTTCCCAAAAAAAACCCCGGGATTTGGGATCTGGGGGGATTTTCCCGCCATCCCGGCAGGTTTGGGGTGAAAATCCAGGGGTTTGGTGCCTGTTTGGGGATTTGTTTCTTTATTTTAACTCAATTTTTCTCCGTTTGCCCCCATTATAACCCAATTTTTCCCCATTTTAACCCCATTTCCCTCATCTAAACCCTTTTGTTTTCATTTTATCCCATTTTCTCCCCATTTCCCTCCATTTCTCCCCATTTTATCCCATTTTATTCCCATTTTCCCCCATTTTATCCCATTTTATTCCCATTTCTTCCCATTTTATCCCATTTTATCCCCATTTTATCCCCGTTTTATCCCATTTCTCCCCATTTTATCCCATTTCTCCCCATTTTTTTCCCCATTTTATCCCCGTTTTATCCCATTTCTCCCCATTTTATCCCATTTCTCCCCATTTTTTTCCCATTTCCCCCCATTTCTCCCCATTTTATCCCATTTTATCCCATTTCTCCCCATTTTTTTCCATTTCTCCCCATTTTATCCCATTTTTCCCCCATTTCTCCCCATTTTCCCCCGATTTCTCCCCATTTTATCCCATTTTATCCCATTTCTTCCCATTTTTTCCCCATTTCTCCCCATTTTATCCCATTTCTCCCCATTTTTCCCCCATTTCTCCACGTTTTATCCCATTTTCCCCCATTTCTCCCCATTTTATCCCCTTTCTCCCCATTTTTTTCCCATTTTATCCCATTTTATCCCATTTTTCCCCCATTTCTCCCCATTTTTCCCCCATTTCTCCCCGTTTTATCCCATTTTATCTCCTTTCTCCCCATTTTTTTCCCATTTTATCCCATTTTTCCCCCATTTCTCCCCATTTTCCCCCCATTTTTTCCCATTTTTCCCCCATTTCTCCCCATTTTATCCCATTTTATCCCATTTCTCCCCATTTTATCCCATTTTCCCCCCATTTCCCCCCATTTTCCCCCATTTCTCCCCATTTTATCCCATTTTTCCCCCATTTTCTCCCCATTTTATCCCATTTTTTCCCCATTTTATCCCATTTTATCCCATTTCTCCCCATTTTTTTCCCATTTTCCCCCCATTTCCCCCCATTTCCCCCCTCCCCAGGTCTGGTACATGGACGGTTACTACAAAGGCCGCCGCGTCCTGGAGTTCCGCTCCCTCTCCGACTTCATCTCCGGCCAAAACTTCCTCCAGCACCTCCTCCCTCACCCCTGGGCCGGCACCGGCCACGTCGTCTTCAACGGCTCCTTGTACTACAACAAATTCCAGAGCAACCTGGTGATCCGCTACCACTTCCGATCGCGCAGCGTCCTGGTGCAGCGCAGCCTCTCCGGCGCCGGCTTCAACAACACCTTCCCCTACTCCTGGGGGGGATTCTCCGACATGGATTTCATGGTGGACGAGAACGGACTGTGGGTGGTTTACACCACCAACCAGAACGCCGGCAACATCGTCCTCAGCCGCCTGGATCCGCATTCCTTGGAGGTTTTACGGACTTGGGACACGGCGTATCCCAAACGGAGCGCGGGGGAATCCTTCATGATCTGCGGGATCCTTTACGTCACCAACTCCCACCTGGCGGGAGCCAAGATTTATTTCGCCTATCACACGAACACTTCCAGCTACGAGTACACCGATATCCCCTTCCATAATCAATGCTACGAGTACACCGATATCCCCTTCCATAATCAATATTCCCACATTTCCATGCTGGACTACAACCCTCGGGAAAGGGTTCTGTACACCTGGAATAACGGCCACCAGGTCATCTACAACGTCACGCTCTTCCACGTCATCAACACCGCCGGAGACCTCTGAATTCCCTCATTCCCCAGCTTTCATTTGCTGCGTTTATCTTCCCATTTTATCCCCTTTTATTCCCATCCCTTTTTATTCCCATTTTATCCCCTTTTATTCCCATTTTTTCCCCATTTTTTTCCATTTTTTTCCCATTTTTTTCCCATTTTTTTTCCATTTTTTCCCAATTTTTTCCCCCATTTTTCCCCCCTTTTGTCCTATTTTTCTCCCTTTTTTCCTCTATTTTTTCCTATTTTTAGCTTAATTTTTCCCACTATTTCCCCTTTTTTTCTCCTATTTTTTCTAATTTTTTTCCTATTTTTCCCCATTTTTTCCCCCATTTTTTCCCCTTTTTCCCCCATTTTATTCCCATTTTTTCCCCCATTTATTCCCCATTTTTTCCCCATTTTTCCCCCATTTATTCCCCATTTTTTCCCCATTTATTCCCCATTTTATTCCCATTTATTCCCCATTTATTCCCCATTTATTCCCCATTTATTCCCCATTTTTCCCCTCTTTCCCCCCTTTTTTCCCCCTTCCCATCCCACAACCCTTCATGATCTGCGGGATCCTTTACGTCACCAACTCCCACCTGGCGGGAGCCAAGATTTATTTCGCCTATCACACGAACACTTCCAGCTACGAGTACACCGATATCCCCTTCCATAATCAATATTCCCACATTTCCATGCTGGACTACAACCCTCGGGAAAGGGTTCTGTACACCTGGAATAACGGCCACCAGGTCATCTACAACGTCACGCTCTTCCACGTCATCAACACCGCCGGAGACCTCTGAATTCCCTCATTCCCCAGCTTTCATTTGCTGCGTTTATCTTCCCATTTTATCCCCTTTTATTCCCATTTTATTCCCATTTTATCCCCTTTTATTCCCATTTTTTCCCCATTTTTTTCCATTTTTTCCCATTTTTTTCCCATTTTTTTTCCATTTTTTTCCCATTTTTTTTCCATTTTTTCCCCATTTTTTCCAATTTTTTTCCCATTTTTTCCCAATTTTTTTCCCCATTTTTCCCCCCTTTTGTCCTATTTTTCTCCCTTTTTTCCTCTATTTTTTCCTATTTTTAGCTTATTTTTTCCCACTATTTCCCCTTTTTTTTCTCCTATTTTTTCTAATTTTTTTCCTATTTTTCCCCATTTTTTCCCCCATTTTTTCCCCTTTTTCCCCCATTTTATTCCCATTTATTCCCCATTTTTTCCCCATTTATTCCCCATTTTTCCCCCATTTATTCCCCATTTTTTCCCCCATTTTTTCCCCATTTTTTCCCCTTTTTCCCCCATTTATTCCCCATTTTTTCCCCATTTATTCCCAATTTTTTTCCCATTTTTCCCCATTTATTCCCCATTTTTTCCCCATTTATTCCCAATTTTTTTCCCATTTTTCCCCCATTTATTCCCCGTTTTTCCCCCATTTTTCCTCTATTTTTTTCCCATTTTTTCCTTATTTTTTCCCAATATTTCCCCTTTTTTTCTCCTATTTTTTCACATTTTTTCACATTTTTCCCCATTTTTTCCCCCATTTTATTCCCATTTTTTCCCATTTCATTCCCCATTTATTCCCCTATTTTTTCCCGTTTTCCCCCCATTTTTTCCCAATTTTCCCCCTTTTTCTTCGTATTTTTTCCCCTTTTTCTCCCATTTTCCCCCCCTATTTATCCCCATTTTTTCCCTCTTTTTTCTCATTTTTCCCCTTTTTTTTCCCCTTTTTGTCCCAATTTTTTCCCCCTTTTTTCCCTTTTGTTCCCCCCATTTTATTCCAATTTTTCCCTCTTTTTTTCCCCTATTTTTTCCCATTTTTCCCCCCTTTTATCCCATTTTTTCCCCCTTCCTTCCCTCATTTTATCCCCATTTTTCCCCTCATTTTTCCCCTTTTTCTCCATTTTTTTTCCCTCTTTCCCATTTTTCCCCCCCAGCTCATCCAATTTCCTCTTTTCCCACATTTTCCCCCCAAATTCCGCGGCTTTCTCGTCCTCCTCCTCCTCCTCATTCCCACCGGAATTCCCTCAAATCCCCATGGAGCTGCTCTGCCTTCCCTATTTCCATAATTTCATTTTTTTTCGGGAATTTCGGGGCCAGATTCCATCTTTATTTTAACAGCAAATAATAAAATAATAATAATAAAAAATATAGAAATAAAATCTCCTCGGCTTCATTTGAATTCCAGAATTTTCCAGGAATTTTCCTCTTTCCTTCCTTTGGAATTTTCCTCTTTCCTTCCTTTTATTCCCTGGTTTTTAATTAATTTCTTTTTATTTTTTAATCCTTATTTTAATTTCTCCCTCCTGGGGTTTTTCTCCTCTTATTTTCCTATTCTTATTTTTAAAAAATATGATTATTTTCCTATTAATAAATTATATCTTATTATTATCATTTTAATATTATTATTTTAATGTATTATTATGTTAATATTATTTTAAATTATTATTTTAATATTATTTTAAATTATTATCTTAATATTATGTTATTATTTTAATATATTACTATTTTATATAATGATATCTTAATATTAATTAACAGTTCAGTATTTTAACATTTAATTATATATTGGTAACATTATTTTAATATTAACTATTAATAATATAATATTACTTTAATAGTAAATTTCTATTTTAATAATATTCTTAATATTAATTCTTATTATTTTAATATTATTTTAATGATAGATCATTCTATTTTTATTAATATTTAATATTAATTACAATTTTAATAGTATTTTAATGGTAGATCATTCTATTTTTAATAACATTTATTTTAATATTAATTACTATTTCAGTATTATTATTTTAATAGTAAATCATTTTAATAATATTTATTTTAATATTAATTACTCTTTTAGAATTATTATTTTAATAGCAGACCATTCTATTTTTAATAATATTCTTATTTTAATATTACTTTATTATCGTTATTTTTACATTATTTTATTTTTAACAATTTTATTATAACTTATTATTATTTAATTGAATTAATTTATTATTATTTTTATTATTACTTTATTATTATTTTTATTATTTATTAATTTATTATATTTATTATTTTTATTTTATTATTTCCCCATTATTTCCCCGCCTTTTTTTTTTTCCCCCAAGAGAAAAAGACAGAAAAAGAGAATAAAAAAGACGGAAAACGGGAAAAAAACATGGAAAAAGGTTGGAAAAACCTGGAAAATCCAGAGGGGACGGGAAATTTGGGATGAATTGCAGGGAACGGGAAGGG